CAATTATCATCGAGCTACACCGGCGACGGTATAAAAGAGTTCGTTCTCGGGCAAATGTAATTGAATTACGGTGTTGGTTTTCAATCACTTTGCCGAGACAACCGATCGCCGTAACTTTCGAATAACAGTTTTTACGGGGAAAGGCGCCGACATCTTCGATCCTCGAAATGATAGGCCACCAGAAATCTAAACATTTTCCCATCGACCCTGTTACTCGACATCGCACTTAGCTTCATTTTTCACGTTAGAAAGGATCCCCGGGAAAGCTGCCGGCGAGGCCGGGAGGGCGAAGAACTGGGGGATTACGGGGTGAAGGTGGCGCAAAAAAGCGCGATGGTCAGCCGAGGTGAGTACGTTCGACGTGAGAGCCACTCTAAAAAAGGAAGCCGACTTTCATTCCCGTGTTTACTACTCCGTAACACGTTCTGACCATTTTTCAATTTCCGCGACTACCTTCTCGCCGACGATCTCTGTATTTCCCGGTTAAATGCCGCGCCGTTTGTCCCATCCAGTAATTCCCACGTAATAAGTCTGCTTCGAGCGGCGACTTCGTTGTTGAACCCAGAACACCTACAAATTATACGCCGTTCGAAATAATTTTCATCGTTTGTATTAAAGTGGATGAAACGTCCTTAGCCGGTCGAGAAAAAGGATTCCCGGGAACGTGAATAAATCGGAGACGCTTGGAATTGCTCTGTGGAGGTTTTATTGAATAGGAAGTTTTTGTGAGATGGGTAGTATTTGATCATTGGGACGAGAGATAAATTTAATATCAGACTGTTTGCTTATTTTTAATTAACTCGTTTAAATAAGAATTTTTAGTGGTATCCTTGTTCGCGAATGCATTTATGAAAATTATGCAATAAATATTTCTGTATAGAGACAGTATAATAATAATATTAAAATGTGTAATTGAATTAGTGTAAATAAGGTTTTAGTAATTAGGGAAATTGAACGCTTAAAGAAAGTATTTCAAGAAATGATGAAGTGTACAAAAATCGTGATAGTAATAGTGATGGTAAAGTAACTACTTAAAAATATTTTACAGAACTCTTCCGAATTAAGGTGATTAAGAAAAGTTCAAGATAGTTGTTCTACTTGTATCGAGAATGTTCGCGAAAGTATCCAAACATCGATTGGTGGAGTACAGGTGATGTTGGAAGTAAATCATCCCGCGTCTCCGGTTCTCCTATCGTGTTGTAAGATAATGGCACTAATGACGCTTAACGCCTAAGTCAAGTGCATCCACAGTTTACGGAGAACCCTTTAATGGCTTATCGATACGGGGCTTTGATAAAGCCGGGCTGCGCAAGTTTTTGACAGACGCAGCGAACAATTTATCACGACACCTTTGTTCCGACGCGAGAACACTTTCTATGGGAACAAAAGGATTCTTAACGGATAACAGTACGCTGAAAGGGCCGAAATAACGAAATCCTTAAGGACAGTTCATTTACTTCTAATAACGTAATTAAGTTTAACGATGAAATATTCCGGGAATTAAGCTCCGAAAAATTAGAACAATGTTTTAGACAATACAAAACTCTACTACCTTACGCGTGTGCCATATTGCGAATTCTTACGAAACTAATCTTCTTCCTAGAAGATTATTACAAACTTCGAAAACTTTGCTTTTTGGTTGTCAAGTAATTTCATACTCATTTCTCATGAAAAATAAGTTAGAAACTGTTGCACAGCAATTCTCGAGTTAACGAGAAAAAAATCCTTTCTATACTCAAGCGAGCACCTTAAATCTATACGCAAGAGACAACTTCAACATAATAAATTATAACGACACAATTATCTTCTCTACCATATTAAAGGATACTAAACAATCACGCTAACATCAAAACCACGAAAACACGATTATTCAGAAACCTAACCTAAAACAACACAGCAAAGTTAACAACATCAATTACAATTCAAAGAACAAGCATCAAACCCCCCACAGCCAGACCTAGTAATTATGAATTACAATTTACAACAAAACTGTACGATGCAATCACTCCCGTTCGATTAAAATCAAGATCCGTTCGAACGATCTTCTACGCCGTTAGATTTATCGGAACCATAGCCTCCCGACAAGCGAAATCTACTCCGGATCTCGAAACGGATTTAATCCCCACCAATGTCCTCAAATAGGTTTAAATTTCCGCGCGGTGCGCGGTGGGGGGCCGATGCACGATATATTTCGTGTAGGACGGAAGGAAAGGGGTTGACGGCAAGAAGAGGAATTCGGGCTTCCACTCGAGAGCCTGTAAGACGTGGCAGGTGGTCTCGAGGGGCGACCCACTCAGCTAGAGAAGGCGTCACGGCTGCAGACGAGGGAGAGGCATTCACGGGTCTTGATTTAACACCTTGGATTAATTACAGTCTGTGTACCGGCGCACACGGGGCACGGCTGCGTGTGTACGTGAAAGGGCTACGCTGTAAGAAACTCGGTGCCCCCGTACACAACCGCGCAGCGTGCCAACGTGCGCGACTGAACGCGACCAGGCACTCATATTTGTCTCCAGAACAGAGAATGAGAATTCGGGACGGGCCCTGCAATGTGCTACCCACGCGATGTCTTCTTCTTGCGGCCTTTGTTCAGCTCCTAGGGTACGTTTACAGCGGAGCTGCGATGGGAGCTACGATAGCGGCGATTCACAACGCTTTATATCGTTGAACGTAGCTCTAGGGTCTCTTCAATGTGAACGCTTCCATTTGGAACATGGGTATTTCAAAATGTATGTATTTCCTCGCTTCGTGTCGTGTTCAGTGCTACGTTATTTAGGGATTTTTGTGAAGCTCGAAAAGTGGCTTTGGGGAAACTTTTGGAGTCGCTGTGGGATTTGATAATAATTGGGGAACTGGCTGGATTGAAATTATTATTGGGTGTCCGGGATACATTGCGTTATATTTTTGAGATGTTATGTTGCTGTGAAATTAAATTAATGTGAATGTCGATAAAAGAATTTTGGCGATGTATAAATTTTGAATTTTGTTAAAATTTGATTTCCTTGTGTGTATGGGAATGTATATAGATAATAAAGAAGACTTTATAATGGTTATAATTATGTGTATATGATTTTTTTTTATTTTATTGGTGAACATACAAAGCATTGTCTTACATCTGAGATACAGAATGCGGTGTAAAATAGATTGGACGCTATATCTGTTCGATTAAATTTCATAGCGGTCCGGACAGCACCATAAATAGTGGGCGGCAGCGCCATAAATATTGCATTATGTACCATAAGTATAGTACCATAAATATTATTGGTCGTTCCGTAATAATTCTGGAGATATCACAATATTTGTGTCCCAGCCTGTGACGAGAAATTTTTTGAAAAGCCTCGTATGATCCAATACAAAAATATAACTTATGAAATGGTAAGCAGCTGAAGACTCGTATCCTAATTTCAAAAATGACTTGCAAAACAAATGTTTCTGTTCCTAAATTTTGTTTCGTTTAATTTGACATGCCATTATATGCTTTTGTATTATAATCATTTTCTATTAAATAACCTGACAATATTTATATTTATCAAATTCAGACTGAAATCTTCATCATGAGTATTGTTGAACAATACATGAAACATCTCAAATTTCTTGAAATCATTTACTGTATTAAATCTACTTTATTAATAAAAAAAACTAATTATTTCATTCATTGCAATATTTATAAAATTCAGATTCCAACCTTCACCGTGAGCATTGTGAAGCAATACACAGAACAACTCGAATTTTTTGCAATTATGTATTATATTCAAATTAACTTACTAATAAAACTGAATAACTTAATTTATTTGAACATGTATAAAAGTCAGGTTGCAATCTTCTCCATAAGTAATATGAAGCAGTAGACGAAACTACTCGAATCTTCAGAATTTCTGTTCCTCCCGTGTGTTGCCAATGGCACAACGATAGACGCCAAAGAGTCCGCCCATTTATATCATACGAAACGCTCGATCTAACGTTACGGCGATGATCACAGCCGGCATCCGAGCCGGCCAGAACGGAAACGTACAATGGTGTAATATTCGTCCGGGGCTGACTTTATCAGCCGAGCGAGCTCATTTCCAAAGTAATTCCGTCCTCTTGGCCATAACTCGTGTCCTCCGGGTTCGAGCAGCCAGCTGAATATGTATGTATATGTATGTGTTCCGTATGTCAAGTAGAAACGGACAGGTTACCGAATCCTGGACGGCACTTTGTCACACTTGCATCCTCCGTAGCCGGATAAGATACGGGTTCTCATATGAGACGAGCGTGTCCTCGAGCCCGTGTACCTTTTTGCACACGCTGCATCCTCCACGGGAAATTTTCGTCACGGGAAACCAAAAAATTTCACCGACGAAGACTCGAAGGTGTAAGATTTCCTTTGATCCTCAGTTTCTTTGCACCTCTTTATATCTTTATACCTTTGTGCCTCTTTGAAAGTATATCTTCGTGAATACACTTTTAGGTGCCACTTTCATTCAAACGTTGCTGCGAACTAAATATGCTTTTATGGAAATTTAGATCTGATTTAATTTTCATTTGCATTAGAATGGTTATCATTAGAATTGAATTAGAAAAATATTCATGTGACATTTAAAGAATTTTGAAGTAGTATAAAGGTGGCAACAGTAAAGAATAAGAGATGTGAAATAATATTGTGATAGTGTAAATTTTATTGTTACTGCTCGATTCGCTTTTGAAAAAAGCACACCAGAAATGTTCCAAAACAATTGCAAAAATGTTGTAATCGATAGTAAACACTTGGGTCTTTCACAGCGTTTACAGAGAAATTGCTTACTACAGTGATGGTTTAACGCGCAGCGAGTCGAGAAATCATCGATGCACTGTTTCGAATAATTATATTTTGTCGTACAGCTGAATCGGTTAATACTACAAGCACCTCATTGAACTTTGATCATTTTTTAGTCGTTCAGAATGGTTATTGCGAAATTGTTAATTAATTGTACGTACCTTTTGATTTCAGGTATGTACCGTTTACCAGTTTGCGAGGACTTCTCGTTGGTCCGCCATTGGTTCGAGGCAGAACACCAATTCCACGTGTGAGTATTTTTGACAATTGCCGTAATTATGCATTAAAATTACCGTATCCATTAATAAATTATTGCGTCCATGCTACAAATTGTATCGTAATAAAATGAATTCATGCAATTCTCCAGTACGGGTGGAATGTTTAATATACCATATGAAAAATAAATTATTCATATCAATCGGAAGTTCAAAGACGTTGTTATTAATCGTGTAGGCGAATGTATTATCATATGATTGAAACAATTCGTCACTGTCGTGAGTGCAAGGAACGATTGTTAATATGTTATCAATTTCAAACTATATTTAATCAGAGCAATTCTGTGATCATTCCAACGAACCGCATTATATGATTATTGAAAATTATTCTTGTAATATTGGTAACGTAATACTTCCTATTATAGAAACCTGGAATCAAATTATTTCCGACGCTATCGAACGGAGAAATTATGCCCTAATAATAGCCAACGAATTATCAAATCACCTCAAATTATATGTTTGATTTGGTGTTAATATCGTAATTCGAAATTGTTACGTCCAATAATATTACTTCAGAATTACACGATGAAATATTGAACATTACATTGCTCATTAATGATGTATAATAATTTAACCTTTCCATTGATGACTCGCATTCAGGTGTAAATAGTATGAAACCTCCCGAAGTAAATTTTAAGCAAGAAGTATTTCATTTCGATATTGTTAGGTTTCTAAGTTTCTCTCCTTCTCCTTAAACACTAAACAAATAATTTTACTTTCATAAATACTATATAATATTCTCACATCTATTTTAAATAAATCTTAGAATTTATTTTGAACCAACAATTCCTATGAATGCTGCAAAGAATTCATAGTCAAAGTAGTTAATAAAGTACAGGATACAAACTATATTTCTTTGCAATCGTTTAGAAAGTTAATTAAAATATTACATAAAATATAAGGAAACAAAATTCTCAATTTTCCCATTACGACTTTATCGTCGTTTTCACAATTTCTTCGTCGTGCCAAATAATTTCGCCCGCCACTGCGGATTCGCTTGGTTATCGATAAAAATTGAGGTTAGCCGGGATAATGGCGGAAAGGTCGCAAGGAATGATCGCGCAGCCTTTTTCCTCCATAATCGGTCGAAACAGATTGTCAATATCGTCGTCTCGCGCTGGGCAGAAGGGTTTTATCGATCGCAAACAATAAATACCGGCCGGTGGGTATTGCCAGCTCGCACGTTCTCCGTTAATTTACGACGGCATGGTATTAGGTCATTATTGAATTCTGTCGGATCGCGTGGAAGAGCAAAACGTCGCGTCGCCTCGCCTAGCTGAGGAGAATCCTCTTCTCCCTTGTCGCCGAAATTACGAGCTCGCTGGTCAGATTGAACACGCGTGCTTCTATCTCACCCTGCAATCTCCGCTTGATACTACATCCTCAACGCCAGCTTTCGCCTTAACTATTAATTAGTTTCAGCCCATAAGTCCTCACGTGACTAACAAGTTAAGATTTGTCGGGTGTTCTTAGATTGTTTTCTAGGCTGACCGATATCACAACTTTTCTATCATGTCAAGGTGCCCTAACTGTGGAAAATGTATATTTTAATCAGTGTTCCAAGTTTTCTTTGATAATTCTGTAAGTTGTCCAATTCTTATCGTCCCCATTTAGAAGGAAAATTATAAAGTTATATCATTCGCGATTTTATATTTTTGATTTTATACACAAAAAGAAAATAATTTAATAAAATGATATTTCAAAAGTTCAGACTACTTTTTTCAAAGTATTATTAATAATGATTCAACTCGAATTACGTTTATCTTTAATTGAATAAAACTATAGCTAATAAACCCCTTGATAGATGAAATACATTTACGTTTAGCTCTTCTGTTTGCCACTTAATAAACGGAAATTTATATTTATTTATGTGTTTACGGTTTACTTGTAAACACTTGTATTGGCGTTTACATCGTAATTCGATAAAAACGGAAATATTTTGAAACGTCTTGAAGTTTCTTTTAATTGCGTGTAAAGCTGAGCACAATTTCTCACTAATCCACGTCCAATTTCAACGTCCTTTAAGAGAGGAATAACAAAACCAAAACTTTCGAGGAGACTCTGGATGCTGGCATAAGAAGCAAACGAACAACGACATTCGCCCAACTCCTCCGCAGAAAAAGAGTAAAGAGGCGCGATAAAAGTAGGGACGAAGAGAAAAACAGAAGAACCGATAGCATGGTCTCGATACGCGTGGCTGGTGTAGCAGCTGCGCCCTCCGAGCTACTTAATTTACCAAAATAAAACGTTGGTGGGATCGTTCTTGGAACAACTTAATTCGTCGAACGAAACGAATCCAGCCCGATGTTCTTGCGGGTATTAGGGATGGTATCAAATCCTTAGCAAATGGTATCGAACGAAACATGATACTATGTTTTCCAATTTTGTTCAAGGTCTAAAATTTACAAAAAACAATGGTTATAAATGTAACACAGATATATGTCACAAATTTCCAGTGTCACAAAATATTTTTCAAAAATCAGTAACAACTCGTAATTGGTTATAAAAGCTAAAAGCTAAATGGTTTTATAATCAATTCCGAGTTGCTACTATAATGACATCTTTACTCCCGACTTACTAAAGTTTTCTAGTAAACGCGTCAAACATCATTCCTTCAAAACATTCACCTAATAAATTCTTCTCCTGTGAATACTCACCATCTAACGACTGTGTTTAAAGAAAGTAATTAAGTGATCAAACATTATACAAACGAAAGTTCCACAAAGCGCGCAACAATACCGCCACGAGCAAAGAAAACGGAGCATCGAACTTACAATTAGCCCCGACACTAATGACGCCAACGCGAGCAACAAAACGTAGCGACGGAAAAAAAATAGAACTGAACCAGGAACTGAAGAAACGAAATGGACAAAGAGAGAACTGGGACGAAATGGAAGAAGGAAGCAAAACGAAGGTAGAGAATAAGTGGGGTTGGATGACGATTCGGCCACTCGAATCTTAGTCGAGCCGGGAAGACATTTCTGGTGGAAAACAAAATACGACAGAGACTCGCGGCAGAAAAAAACGGAGGAAGCTTCAGCTGGGGTTGCTTGGAGGAAGAGGAACAGGGGGATGAGTGGAAACGTCGGTGCCTCGATGGAATTTACTGCTCGCGTCGGAAGTATTCTAAGAGGGTTGCTTCCACGCTGCTGGATAACAGAAAGTGGAAGCCCAGCGCCTAGGTGGTTTATTTGAATGCCTACTTCAGGTTGCCGTGGCGGTACAACCTTTTACGCAGACCGGCAACCCTCGCGTGTGTGTTCTCAAATACATCTCCCCCACGCGCATTCCTATCGCAAGGCTGGAATTGGTTCATGGTCTTCGACCTCCTAGCCTCCTCTATCAAACAAATTCCGTTATTCCCTTGTCACGTGATACACCTGACCTTCGATTTACGCGGACTTTTTTAACGCGGTAAGTTAAAACACTATTTACGCGGTAATTTTCACGTGCGATCTTAATTTTCGCGATGTGAAATTAGTAACCCCGAATAAAATGTACTTTCATTTCCTGAAATGTTATGATTATTATTTCTTTTTTTTTGACTTTCTAAAACGTACATCAGCTTTTCCTCCTAATATTTTGTTTTCTCTTGTACCGACAGACTCTGTTCACGCGATTTTCACTCGCCTAAAACGAATCCGCGTGGAACGGATTTTTGCGTAAATCAAGGTACTTAACGTCAACTGTATTTAAACGTTTAACCGTTTCGTTCTGAAAGAATCAATTAAACCCCTTTCAATGTTCAAATCGTCAAAACAAATCCAATAAATCTAAATCGATAAAGTCGCATAAATATTCTAAAAAACCAAATCAAACGAGCAAATGTTGAAAAATTCTCAACATTTATATGAAAGAAATTACACCCAAATTTACTTCATAACAAAGTTCACAAATCCCATTCCAAACTCCAAAGAAACCGACAAGAAATAAGATCAATGAAACCATTAATAAACAAATTCGATTAAATCCGCAAAATTTAAACCGAAATATCCCGGCACACGGAGCCCGAAGGAGTTTCATAAATTCCATTCGAAGGGAGTGGAAACGAAAAGGAAGAAACATCGCGAAAACAGGAAACTTCTCGTGAAATCTCTGATCAGTGATTGAGGGAGCCTCGGACTCCTGATGGGATCGGAAGGGAAAATAGCGTTCCCGGAGGGCAAGCGGTGGACTCCCAAAAATTCGTTGAGTCACGTTAAGCGGCGGCTGGCTGCCATCTTATCACGAATTCCAGACCCGACTTGGTGACCGCGCCGAGCACGGTCCTGCGGGGAAGGATAAAATCGAACGGGGCAGCGTAACGAGGATCTCAGGGGTCGCAAAACGGGAGTGATCTAGACAAACGACCGTGCGGTCAAGGAGTGACAGCTTCGAGCTATCCCGCCATGACAGAGAACTTGTTCGTCCACGCGTTCCTGAGGGACCTTCCAGCCGGCGGCGTGATGGACCCGGCACGTTATTATCCTTGCGTTCCGGAACGTACCCTTTGAGCGATGGGAATTTCTCCTCTGACCGTCCGCATCGATCGTTTCATTATTTCCTGGGAATTGGTAGCGGCGAATTATCACCGAGCCCTCGTTTAGTCTCTTGTTCTGTTCAACTCATTGACGTGCAATTTCTTTTTCAAGATCGAACTAGGAAACAAGGTTTCTTTGAAATGTTATTTTGTTGGTAGAAGAAATGAGATAGAAGCGTATTATTTCTAGGAAGTATTTAATACGGTTTTTGCTACTTTTTAATTTTTTAAGAGGAAAACGAATTATGTAGGCTATGAATTAGAAAAGGTAACGAAACAGTTAGTGAACGCTGAATCAAATCAGTAGAATGAAATTTGCTCGTTCGGCGTTCAATTTTTGAAGAATAACGTGATTACTAACAATCTATTATGTGACAGATGTTTCAGACTTTTTTTTCAATTACCGTAGTTGAAAGAGAAAAGAATTATCTGTTAATTATTTCCTCGGTAATACGT